GGCAAAGCCGTTGGTTTGCAGCCCTGTGCACAAAACAAGCTGTGGACAAGCTGGCATGAAAGAATGAATGACTGTAATATTTTCTAAATTCCAGCAGTGTCTAATGCTCAGAAGCACAAGTATATGGGATGTCCTTATGAGACAAATGACTTAAGAATGATTAAGCTGAAGTTCCACAATAACCGATGCAGTTACGTTCAAGTGCTTGTACAGGTGCCAGAATGAAACCGCTGCTCTATTTAAGGTGGAACGGAAAATTTGAACAAAAAGCTGCAAAATAAGATGCCAACATCAGCCTTGTAGAGATTAAGACATGAAACAACACTTAGCAATGTTTTTGCTGGGCCTGTGGAGATGGTATCAGAAAGCACTATTTGCACAATAAAAATATTTCAGATTTACTCTAGGTGGTGTTAATGGTTCTTACTAAAAAGAGAAGGGACATCCCAGAATAATAAGCAGGTGTTAATCTACTTAAGCATCTAAATTGGTTTTATCTGAAAGAATATATATGTGATACATACAGAAACTAACAGAAATTTTAATTACACTGTGATATAAATTTTTGGCCAAACCACCCATTACTAACTAAAAAAAATCCTAAAAGGAACTATTACAAACTTACATTGTACAATCTAGGTAGCATCTGAAGCAGTTACTAAGTTGGTGGAGAATGTGGTTATCTGCAGGACGGCCTGTTTCTGGAACAAAGCGCTCTCTCTGAGAGGAGGAGGAGGATTAAATAAATAAGCCAGGCCTGATTGATCAGTGCCACTGACCTATATAATTAAAAAAGCAGCGGGGAAGGGAGGGAGGAATGCCGCAGTCTTTCTCAAGGTTATTCATGTCATTTTTATGACCCAATTTACAATCTATGTTTCATTCTTACTCTTTTTTTTCCTCCTCCCCCTCCTTCCTCTTCACTAGCAGAGGATAGCTAAACTGATGACAGAGCTAAATAAATATCAGTAGAAGCAGTTAGAGTCTGACTGCTGGGACTGTAGAAGATGTTAAATATTGATCCACAGCTGTTCTGGGTTGACCAGCTTTAGTGGCCTAAATGACAAATCCAAACCAGGCCAGATTACATTCACACATAAACTTTTTAGGCTACACACTCCTTCTCCCCAACCCCCCCATCCTCCCCGGCCAATTTTCACATTGCAGCTACAAAACCTTCAACATTTCCAAACTGACAGGGACAGCTCATTCCAAACCACAGTACATAGTGAGAAAGTTTGCCTGGCTACCTTTCAGAGAGTCATATTTAAGGCTTTGGTTTACCCTTTCTGAAAGGGAGGGAGGTAACCAACATCAAGGCGTGTTCAGCTTGTTTCACAGAAGCAAGATTCTCTTGTAAAAGAGAGAGAGAAAGAGAGAGGGTGGGCTCCTCATTCCCATCTGTGGCTGGCTCTTTTTTTCTGGCAGTGGTGCGGCCTGAGGACTTCCAGTGAAAAGCCACTTCAACTGAGCTCAACTCCTCAGCATGTAACTTACTGCTGAACAACGGTGGCCCATTACTGTGGCATGAAAACTGGGAGCACAAACAATGAGGCCCAATCTTTTGGTGCAAATACTGAAGACGTGTCCACTAGGGATGTACAAATGTATCAATGCATCGCATGGCAATGCAGCATCATCAATTATGGAATGTAATTATCAATTACAATCAATTACAATGCTATACAATAAAGTATGTGTTCATTTTTTGGCCAAAATGAAATGCTTGGACTACTTTCAAACATAAAAACCCACTTGCATTGTCTTTACTGTCTATATATCACTACTGTGTAAACAGTTCCCCTAGCCAAATTTGTATATTCGGTTCAAATTGTGTTGAAATTTGACATTTCATGATGTTTTCAAAGTAATTCTAGTGATCTGATTCACTTTGAGGTCAGATATTTACACCACTAACTGAATCAAATCAAACTGTGGTGAAATCAGTGCCTTTATGATGCAAAGAATCATTTTGTAAAGAATTGAAATTGAATCCAATCACTGTGAGACCAGAGAAATACACCACTATTGAAATTGTATCGTGGTGAAATTCAAGATTTCGTGATAAACTGATTCATTTCCTTAAGAATCAAATCATTTGGAGGTCAGATATTTACACCACTTTTTGTATCAAATTGGACTGTGGTGAAATAAGGAATTTCATGATGTGATTCATTGTTTTCTAAAGAATCCTAATAGAATCGAATCATTGTGAGGTCAGAGATTTACACCACTAACCGAATGAAACTAAATCATGATGAAAGAATGAATTTCATCATGTAAAAATTTTAAAATAATCACAATTAAACTAAATCGTTGCAAGATCAGAGATTTGTAAAGCTAACTAAATCAAATCAAACTGAGGTGAAGTGAGACGTCATGATGCAATGAATCATTTTCTAAAAACCTGTAATTGAATTAAATCATTTGAAGGTCAGAGAATCACATCACATATGAAATTAAGGTAAATTTAGGTAAAATTTAAGATTTCATGATGCACTGAATCGTTTCCTCAGACACGTATACCACTTACTGAATCAAATTGAATCATAATAAGGGATTTCATGATGCAACAAATGACGTTCTAAAGAAAAGTTACTAAATTGAATCATTGTGAAGTAAGATATTTACACCACTACTGAAACCAAACTGTGCTGAAATTCAAGATTTCACTATGCTCTGAATAGTTTCCTGGACCCTTGTGAGGTCAGAGATTTACTCTCCCACTATAGCCTTACAGTCTGCTGCTTACATAAAGAATGGCTTCATCTGCTGGGCAAATGAATTAGATTAATTACTATGGTTTGCAGCTGCACAAGCGAACACCTCAGCACGTTCTCCGTCTGCTCCATCGGCCTTTGGCAGCGCGCGATTCGCCGGACAGAGATTTTATACGCGGATATCGATTGAGCACCAGGTTGAGAACAGCGGGGCTGGAGGGCGGCCAGGTGCCAAAGCCTCGTCCACCCACTCTCCTGACCTCCACTCTCCGCTCCCTCACGTCAAAGCAAATAGGGGCTCCTCGCAAATCTTAAAGGTCGCATTGGATTGCTTTTCAAATAAGTAAAAGAAGGCCTTTTTGCCACCGCATACTCACTGATCCATGCCAGAACCAATACTGAGCTCAGCATGCTACACAAGGACATGAAAATAAACACAAGCACTAAGAACTCTACACATTTCCTTTTCTCTCACACCTTACATTTATGTATGTACATTATCATTTTAATAAGAAAGGAAATCTTTCCTGTGAGACAGCCATAGGCCTTAAATCTTCTCCCCCTGTCTCTTCTTAATCAATGCCACTCTCTGATAACGTCAGTGTGTATCTCACATCTTCAGAAAATTATTAACATGCGAGATAAGGCATGCAGCTTGGCTGAACAAAGTCAAAATGACAAGGCATTGGGAACAAGAGAAGCACTCAAGAAATTGATACACTGCTGCTCCTGGTTATTAGTATGAGCCCTGTAATCCACACCCCCTCATTACCATGTCCTAAATGATTCATTAACTGACTGTATTAATTAAGTTATGTGGGGAATCGGCTCACTCAAGAGTTGTACATGTGCAAGGCTTAATGTAGGACACTCATAGCCACAAATCCATTAGTGCCATGCAGTTATGAGTCTACAAATTTGAATCATCCTAATTATACAGACACTTTGGCAGCGTTCACACTGAGGACTATTCAGATTTGTGTTTCAGTCTGATCTTTAGGGACTGACTGTTCTGCAGCATTGTTTGTAACAGTGATCAGATCAGATTGCTCATTTTACTCAGTGTTCCATTTTATAGCACAGCCATTGCTATAGGTTGCTATAGTAATTACCTAGATGATAGCAAAGCTGTCAAGAAACATGTTTACTGCCGAAAACTGAATTAAATAAAAGTTTCTAAATGATCTGTCATTATACCATTAACGTTACCTTCATAATTTACATCACTTTTCACTTACCCCAGACACAGTCAATGCAGCCAAGACATGTTTGGTGTTCAGATTTTGCTTCTTTATTTTAGCACTGGACCTATGAGGGTAACGTTTCTCACAAACACTAGAAGTGAACTCACCCAAATCTTTTCTATAAACACTCCCAAAACGTCTCTAAACCCACTCAAACCGCATCCAGGTCTTCATTAAGGCAACTCAGACTTGTCGATGTGGTTTAGGGAGAAGTATGACTTACTGTGAGCTATAAAAATGAACAAACTTCACTATGTAGCTGAAGGCACACAAGTCATGCTAGATTAGCTTTGTGATTTATGCTGTTTCTATTTTTGAACATTTCTTCAGCTAGAAAATTAAAGATTAACAGCTATTTATTAAGAAAAAACAGCAGAAATTGCTATTATACTCTGTAGAGTCCATATGTGTGTGTGAGGCATGTGCATGAGAGGGGTAGTCCAATTTTGGCACGACACCTGAAGTGGCTGCACGCAGCACTGGGCTACACAATTAAGATCTGTTCACTTTTACAGGGCATGGTAAGTCTTACTGTACCCTAAACTACACTGAAAAGTTTGTACGGTTTAATGAAGACCCGGATGGGGTTTGAGTGGGTGGCAAGAAGTTTTGGGCATGTCTTTACAGATCTGGGTGACTACTGATTTCTATTGTTTGTTAGCAATGTTAGCTTTCTAGCTCTAGTGCTAAACTAAAGAAGGAAAATTTGGACGGCAAACATATCTTGGCTGATGGACTACATCTGAGGTAAGTGAAAAATTGTGTAAATTAGAATAATTTAAGACAAGAGCTTTTTAATCATGTACTACTGTATCAAACACGAACCGTTGTGAATGAGAAACATTTGAAACAACTGAAATTAGATCAGCATCAGAAACACCTTAAAGAGCTAGGCTATCTATGACTGTGCTTTGAATGACATTTGTAAATATCAGATGCTATGCGAAATCAGACATTCAACTTGGATATGTAAACACGATTTTTGTCATCTGAATGAACTCATCCTCAGTGTGTGGTGAGCTGTTTGGGTCTGTACCTCTCGTAGTGTCTCCGTGTGCATGTGGCGGCGCTCGTGCTGCCTGGGTTTCCGCCCAGCTCGTCGTAAACATTTTTCCACTGTCGGCGGGCTGTGATCTGTCAAGAGACAGAACTAGTTTTGAGTGAAGGACAACAACATTCAAAACAATTACATTAAAACAGTATATTGGTACAAGTACACTTCAGTGTACACAGTGAAGACTAACAATAGGTTTGCTATTTGCTAAGCAATACAGGCTATTGATGCATGTTGTAAAGCAATCAGTTTCTGGGAGTCTGTTTGAGACTGATATACAGTCAATGCTGCACTAAAACGTAATAAACAGCTCCAAAGTGTAGACAACAAAGTTTATTTCAATACTGCTGCCTAGAACAAATGCTGTAGACCTACACTGAGGTTAGATCAAATGTAGGAATGTCACGACTGCTTAAGCATTGTACTGTTTTCCAACAACATTTTGTGATTAAACAATTTTTCCTAAGTTACAGGTTTATAGCTTGTCATGGCTCCAATTATGTGTTTAAGAAGGTGTTTTGAAGGGTAACTGCAAGACAAAAACAATCCCACAACGCTAATTCAGTGCAGGATGTTATTTCATTAAATCCTCCATAGAGCTTTATGTTACTCCACCACTGTTATAGTTACTCTCTTAGCTCAGACACAAGGGTATAACCAGTGTAGTGCATAACACAACAAGCAAATGCAAACAGATGCCATTTTTCCAAGGTTGTTTGTGCCTAACAACTTGATTATGCAGAATCTCCTGTACAGCCTCTCTGATATTCAAGTCTAAACTGATAAACCTACCATCTACTGCACCAAAAGGCCACCAACACTCGATTAGCATAATGAACGTACACAATACTGATATTTAAAAGAGACCTTCACTGCATTGAGAGCGTCTGAAGTTAAAAGATTTTTAATGGCTCTTCCCAGCTGCTAATGGAAGCCTTTCTGAATAGACCTACATGTTTCATAAAAATCCCATGTCACGAAGCCATTTAGCAAACGCACAATACAAGTGGACACCAAAGCCCCTGTATACTGAAGGCTGTGTCCATGATGCACATAATATCTGCAATATATTTAACTAAATATACCATATATATTATGGATATATTATAGTAATATATCCAGATTTCATGTTTTAAAGTGATTGTTTGGCATAATTTTACCCTCATTCCAAATTTAGTCCATTAGCCACAACACATTGGCTGTCCGAAATCTGCTTGATGTATAGCACATGAGTACTGGAAACTATCCCACCAATTAGCATCATGTAAACTGCATGCATAAATCATCACACACTTGCCTCAAAACATGTTGAATTCTTAAACAATCTTTAACAGACCTGCTTTTGTATTACATGTTTATGTATTGTTATGTATCAAAACTATACACAATCTTGAAACCTGAATTTAGTCCATACTTTGATACATTTCTGAGGCATGTGTCTCTTGTTTGAAGCATGTGGTTTTCATGAGTATAGGCTTTCATCACTATGTCACACTACAAAGGTACTGTGCAAAATTCAGAAAAAAAATCATCTATTTAAAAAATTTTTTTCAGTATTTAGTGTGACCATACTTTGCCTTTTTTACAGATTCCATTCTTTTCATGAGACCTGATTTTGTTTTTCAGAGAAAGTTGCAGGGATAATCTTCCACACCTCCAAATTTCAGTCTTTGCAGTTGGTTGCATTTTCTGATTCTCACCAAGTAATCCCAAACACATTTAATGATGCTGAGGTCTGGACTGTGGGGTGGACAGTCAGTTGCTCCGAGATCACCAGCAGCTTCTTTGTTTGATTTGCAAATCTTATTATTTTTATTCAGTTTCCTTTTCTCAGTAACAGCTTCTTGACAGCTACACATCCTTTCAGACTCATAGCATTGAGTTGTCTTCTCACAGTGGAAGGATGGACAGAAACACCTGTGGATTTTTTTTAGATCTGAAGCAAGAGTGGAGCTTGATTTTCTCCTCTCTCTCAAAGATGAAAGCTTAAAGTACTGTTCCAGCATCTGAGGTTGTAAGTTTTTTAGTCTGCCAAGTCTTGCATGGTTGTTAGGAGTACTATTTCATCTAAAACCCCATTTTTTCACTTCTTTCTTTGACTTTGCTGTTCCTTATGCAAGTGGATTATCTTCTATCTAATTAAAAAAAATGAATAACTTGTGTTTAATGGCCATTTTGATTGGAATTTGAAGAAATTAAGGGTAATTTCTGACTTTTGCATAGTACTGTACATTGGATGCATTAGCCTTGTAGATCCTGTGTAAAACTGAAGATTTTAGACCCTGGTAAACAACATCTAAGATCAGAGAAAATTGTATAAACTTGGCTTTTGCCAAACTGTTACTTTATGCTAACAATCACACCTAAAAGTGAGCTGCTCACAGTTACTACAATAGGAGAACAAGGCAGCCTTGCTGGCCATCTCTGCTCTCCATTAAATGCTTCAGTCCTAATATCCCCTGACTGTTGTTTGTTTTAACGTGGCTATTGTGGACTGGGGCTGGTCTCGAAGCCGCAGCCCTAAATGCAGTCAGGAAGAGTTCAGCCTTGGTAGAGGTGCATAATCTCATCATTGTGCACCGTGGAAATGTTTCCAGTGACATCACTGTGGGCCCCCTCACTTTTTCACATTGCACTGATTCGTGTTACAGATGTCAGCTGCCTCGGAGCAATGAAGACTTTGAGTGTCCCAAACGGCAGCCTCACTCATGTACATGGGGACTAATTTCATTTAAAAAACCACACACACGGCAGTGGGCTTCCTGTGCCTTGCAGGCAGGCAGCCTGTAGTATTGATAAGGAAGATAAAAGGACCCAAGAGAGCGAGCATGAATGAGAGAGAGAGGAAACAAGAAGACCTTGAGAGGCTTTTTGTTCGCTCCTCATCCAAACAACTTGGCCGTCTTTCTTGTTCGTCTCTTGATGGATAAAACGGTGCGAATCTCGGGGTAACCTTTGCTGATTAAATGGAAGGGGCCTTAATTTTTTCGCCATCTTAATGCTACGCCAATGTCAGATGGGCTGCCAAGCAAATTCCCTGCGCTACGAGATTTGCGGCTTGCGGAATAATAGCCCCTTAAGAGGCTCAACATGGGTACCCAAAGGGCCCTACCAATTTCCTCCCCAGCAAAAAGGGTTACACATGTTTTCCACTTGTAGATTTCTTTTTTAGAACAACCGCAAGGAGCTTGGGCCAAACCTGGAGCTGAGCGAGGGCCCAAGCATTACCATATTGGTCTGGTAAACACACGTCACAGTGGGACAAGAAATCTGCAAAATCCTCCTGCCTGTTCTTCAGGAATCAGACTGAGCCAAAAGGAGAAAAGGCAGTTGCCAACGTCATTGAAAACATTCAAATGGATCAAAGCGTAAACACTTACCAATTCGTATCCTCCCAGCTTCTGAGCAGCTTGAAACATAGTCCAAAGGTTTACTGTTAGAAGGACAATAAGCATAAAGATCAATACCACAGGAGAAGAAAGGGAGGAAAAGAGCCAGTCACACTAACACACACACACACACACACACACACACATACAAACACACTCTTCCAATCAAGCTCACTTCATATGAGAACTGAAACATGACTCAAAGCACTTGTCAACAATCCATTCCCTGCATTTTTTTGCCTTGTGAATGCTAAACAGGGGGCTTTCAGGGAAGAAAACAACATGAAACTAAATAAATTAGTAATTTAATGATGCAGAACCATTGCACGTGTATGAAGAAGGCCGAGCTGAAATTAATGAGAGACTTTTGCTGCTGGGGAGACTAATCAATCAAGATTCAATCACCACACACACACACACACACACACAAAAAGCCTGCTGCATTTGTCAGAGTGGCATTCTCCTATCCCCATATCTGGCAATATTGATTTTTACCTCCTCCCTAGCAGCTATTTCAGATGGACTGCAGGATTACGCTGCCAGTTCTTTTTTAGCCCTGTGAATGACATTAGGCCTGCAGCTTAGAGCTCTGCTCTCTACAGCCACAGAGGTTTTTATGCATCAGCAATATATCACACAAACGTACGTTGGTCAAATATTTGATGTGAACACTCCAGGTAAAGCTTATGCGTATGCTACTGTATGTACTGAATGTATTTTTTAGGAGGTTTAAGACAGTAACCGTAATCATTAAAAAGTGTACAAAATGTTACATTCAAAACACAAGGGCCTGATTACGAATATTATTCAAATTTACTGTAAATATCTCACAATTTTTGGGTGTTGATACTCAGGGTACACATGAAAATAAGCCAAATGCAGTTGCCAGTTTTCATCACCAATGTCCATTGGGAGCAGCAGTGGCTGCATAGGGCTCCTCCATAACCTTGTTTTAAGCTTTCCATTTTGCTGTTTCCTTTCTTAGTTTACTGCTACCTGTTTATCCACAGGTCTCTTTTGAGCACTGTTCAGTGTAGTCTGCTGAAGGCGTCCTCCGTTACTGATATTACTGATATGTTATTTCTGACGTACTTTAGTGAAAAAACACACTTATTCAACACACTGCAGTAGCTGTTAATAACTTTAAACAAGAGAGCTATTAGTGGAACTTGTCATTTAAAAGCTGTGTTGGAGCTACAGTCTACAGGACAACAGTTGCAAAGTCATAGCAACAGTGTACGAGCAGCTGGGCTTCAGACTGGAACTACGGATGGTGCAAAGGGTCAAATAATTAAAATTCTCAATATCCATGATATCAGAGACCAAACTGATCTCAGTTTTCAGTATTATCGCAGTATTGTTAAGATATACCAAACATGTTTAAAAAGGCACTAATACACATTAAAATAATTTCAACACAGGTATTTTGTTGATAAACTTTTTCTGGTTAACCTTATGTATTTCTTTACACCATAAAAAAGTCAAATACATTTTAAATGCTTATAAATTATCATCAGTACTACTGCTTTTTACCATTTATATTATAACTATGTAAACATGCATTTTCCTTATGTATACTTTGCAGTGAGACTGTAGCAGTCCACCTTGACTTTTTCAAAAGATGGTAACCATACACAGTCCTATTGTAGTGGTGGGTGATATGGTCAAAATAAAATGTTATGTTACATGAAGACATTTTCATGATATCTCAGTATCTAAGTACAGCTGGGCAATATGACAATATGTGTCATAATTGTGATAAATGTCACAATATGCTTTTCTGAGCAAATAGTGGATATTGTCAGTACTTTAAAAACAATGACCAATTGCATGTTTTATTACAAAGAGAGCATAATTAGTCCATTTGTGCAGTGCAGTAGATGAAATGCTGTATAAAGAAAAAGTGCTCTGAGGTTTATAATGTGGTATATCATTACAACTGTCCCTTTCCTGCAGATATTTATCTGTGGTTAGTTTCACTCTGTTCAGTTTTTATTCCAGAGAATCGCATCAATCATGATGCTAATTTGGGCCCAGAAGTGAAATGAACAAGTACTTGTTCTAATCTAGAGCTTACTAAAACATCTTCAAATACTGCATGTTCTCTCCCCTGTGTAATTGACCCTGTCCCCATCCAAGATGTGATTCATCCTCCATACAACTAGTGTTTTTTACTTGTACTGCGGATATCGGATAATAAAAAGAACATATTATTCCTGAGCTGTTTTCAGTGTAATCGGCTAGGAAGTAGTGGCAGGCTAAAGTGACTTGAGTAGAAGAAAACAAACTAGGGCTTTTTTGATGACTATGTACATCCATTCAGCTGTTTATCTGTTCTCCAAGCCCCCAGAGGCACCTCTATGGCTGCGGTTTGTGTGTGTATTTGTGGAGGGGGAGGAGGGGGTAAAGAAAGGCATTTGTGTCAATGGACTCAGATCCAGCAACAGTAACGATAAAAGGTGCCTCTGAAATAATATGTTGTAGCCTGGCAGACTATCAATGAGCTATTGATGCCTATTTGCAGCACACAAATGTTGCTGTTCAAACCAACAGGAGGAGAATGAGTTTGTGTGTGTATGTGTAAGTATGAATAAAAAAGATGAGAGAGAAATAAAATGTTTTTGCTTGAAGCCCTTTCTATCATGCAGAAGTGCCTTGAATTGGGGGTAATTAGGTTTGGCATAAACTACTTGTCAATTCAGGTCAGATATGGTGTATGCGTATCCATATTCATGAACTGGAGGATGTTTTCATTGATGACTGCGGCAAAAATCAAGGGGGAAAATGAAGATGAATATTAGCATTTTTGCTTTCAGCATTTAGATAGTGAAGGGCATCTTCATGCACAGTTGAGAGTGTGACTCTGAACTACTTGCCTATTCATGTCATGTTTTGTGAGAAAACAGCTGAAGACATCGAATCAGAATGGCTAGAGCTGACTAGCAATAATGGTCTCCACACTTGCTTAAGTTACATTGACCCACTTTTCAACCCAGCTGAGTTGATTGCGACTTCCTTTTTTTGTTTCTAAGAGAATACCAATTAGCTCCGAAGCGAGGAAAGGAAGTTTCCGGGAATGATGCGTGGTGTTTGGCACAAACTGGACTGATAGATAATGTCCCTTTTCAGCATTTTGAGGACGAAAATCTGAAGCCACGGCTTATCAGGAGAAATCGATACTCCCAGCCTGCTTGCCTTTTTCAATTGAGCCATCAGTGCATCTGTAATGTCAACTGCCAGCCAGGTGGGGCAGCTATGTCCTTTTGCATTCAGGTTACAAGGGGCTACACTGGCAAAGTCAGAGTGAGAGTGAAAGGGAGAGAGAGAGGGATAAGAAGAGTTAAGTAACTCTAAAAGCAAAATTAAAGTTTGAGTGTAAATTGGCAGATTCGAAGACTTCGGGACGTGAGTTAGTCTATATAGGCTTAGAATAATTAAAAGAATCTTTTCTTTCTTACCTGCTTTCTTAGATTTTACCTGATCTGTAACCCATGGAGTCACTCAAGGGTCAGAGCAAAATCAAGGAAAAGATAAGGAAAGGAAGCTTCTTTTAACTATGTAGCCCTAGTCAAATAGCACATAAGAAGCATCTCAGTGGGAGTGTCGATACACATCAAACTCTATCTGAATTTATCACATTTGGTGTCAGCTAACTAATTCTTCACAGATGTTTTCCAGCCATAAAGTACAAAGTGAAGTAAGTTATGATGTGATTAAGCTAGGAATGTACAACACAATTAGCATGTGTATGTTGTCTTAAAGAATGACTCCCTTTCAGCGTAAGCATGCGATTTATTATGGATTTCTACGGCTCTTAATATAGTATGATACAGTAATAGTGTCATTAGTTTGCTTACTAACTAGAATAGCAATGTTTTAATAAAAAAGGCTTCCTGTAGTGGAATATGCAAGTGACTGACTGAAATATGCCAATAAGCGAGTGAAATATGCCTGTGGCTGAGTGAAATTTGCCAATGGCTGGGCTAGAAATTGTTGGCTAAAAGGCTACCAGCAGGGATATATGCCAATAACTGAGCAAAATATGCCAATAACTGAGTGAAATATGCCAGTGGGTGAGTTGAAACATACCAGTAAATCAGTTAAATATGCTGATGACTGGGTGGAACATGCCAGTTACTGAGTCAAATCTGCCACTGGCTGAGCAGTCTATCTCTTTGTAAATTGTACATGGGCTTTGAGTGACTTGGAAATTCTAAATTACTTTACACACTGGCTAGGAGAAAGTCTGGTAAAGAGAAAGCAGCATATCCAGATCTTTACTCCAGTCTTTAAGAGTTTGTATGGATCCACATGGTCAATCTGGACAATTTTATCCATACACTGTTGTTTAGCATCCCTTCGGATTTGGTTAAGATACACTTTGTTCTTACTGGTTTCAAATTTTTTGGATTGAGCATGAGAAGTATGAATAACTACAATGAAACAGAAATCTCTTTAAGCGTTCACAGTGTGTGTATTTGTAACATGTAAAGAACAAACTAACCCTGCTGTAAGACCATACTAGTCTATTAAAACTATTATGAACATATTTATGATAAATAGATTTAAATGCTTTCATTTTTAGTAACTTAATATATTTGAGCTGAGTTGAGAGACAGCATAGTGAACTTACTGTGCTTGAAGTCTAGACAGGTTATCCGCTCGACAGGAGCACTGAAACAGGTTTAAATGCTCCGGCAGCAGTGTAACCTAATACAGTCATGCCAATAAAGGTTTCTGAGTTGTGCTGAGATGAGTGAGAGCACAGTGAACTTACTCTGCTTGAAGCCTAGGTAGGGTATCCGCTCGATGGGGGTTTTCCTCTCTTTCATGTACTTGTAGAGAGCCACTAAGAAGGCTTGTTCCTCCGCCCGGCACTCTTCACCTCCTTCCTCTTTTGGCTTATCCTCGCCTTGGGCTTGTCGTTTGCAGCCAGCGCTGCTGCTGCTTTTGGGCTTGGACACCACGGCCTTTATGTCTCCTTTCACCTGGATGCCAGCAAGCAGCAGAGGAGAGATTGCAAGAGAAGTAAAATCTGTTAGTCTTATGACAGTCCTGTGGCATATTTCCATGAATTTCGTGCATGATCTACAGTACTGGTGAGGGAGCTCAAGAGTGCCAGTCCATCAACTTAAGAAGTATTTTTCTTTAGATTTGTACTGCTTTGGTGAAGACAACAAAACTATGAAGTAACACACGTGGAATTACACAATGACCAAACAAGAATACAGTGTCACTGATGTGTGGCACTACTCTTATGAAGCACTGAGTGCTAACACCTTCCCCTTGTGGAGAATCCTCAGCTTGCTACATGTGAGTGAGTAAGTTAGTTACAAGCTAGGTCCATGAGATGTGTCCTATCTAAACTTTAGGTTTTGCGTTAACACTGCTTTGTGCATTCCTGGTATTCTCTCAAGCAGCTTAATGGAGAGCTTAAAGAGTCTCTACATATGCAGAGCACTTTTTAGCTACTGAAAACTGTGTTTTGTAGGGGTGTTTAAAAGTAAATAAGATTTTGGTTTTGTTTTGGAAATAAATTAATCAATTGGAAATAGTTCAACTGAAATCATTCAGAGTGTTTTAGTGTGCATTGTGGAGAAACTTACCAACACACGTCCTCTGTACAACGGTGCTAACAGAAACCTGAGGTCACAATATCTACATTGCAAATACTGCCACTTTATTTGCTTTGTTTTAGGCCAAAACCTTTCTTCAAATCTATTGTGAAACAGCCTCCAGCATCAGGCCGTGTATTCATAACCATATCATGTAAAACCTTTCTAAGAGGTGGGCTTTAGAGGTATTAAACGATTCGGACATCTGGGTCCTAACACTACCACTTTGAACAATCCTGACTTGGTAAGATTCTCTAGAACAGCATGTTTCAGAGTATCCAACCACTCTGACTATATTTGCACCTTTACAATTTAATTATGCAGGTGGAATTCCGCTGTAAGACTATGAAAAACGTTCTATCAGCTGTATCCAAGCTTTTGCCTAGCGCTGTACCTGATGTAGGTTTACTGACTAGGATCACTGACTGCTGGTACACTCAATGGCTTTTGACTGGCCTTGTAAAATTCAGCTGCCTCTACCTATACCGTGCATGACTTTGCTACAAATTTGAACCTGAACTATTTAGAGCTTTATGCTGCAGTCAAAAGCCTGCTGCTGTGTGTAGGCAATTTCAGAGGTACAGGCCATACTCTAGCCTACAAATGAAACATATGAAACATCTTGAGTATTTGGAGCTCTAATGTGCTATGAAAAATAGATGCGCTGAAAATTCTCGAGCTCCAGCTCCTCGGTTTCTAAGCACTGGAGCGCCGAAGGTGGGCGTTTGACCCGGCGGGTGAGTGTATGGAGCCTGATCTAGAGTCAGATCCCGAGTGCCGGCTTTAGTCGTGCTGTCGCACTCGGCAGTCGGCGCTGGCCCACACGCGTCTGCTTAGCCATCTGCTCCCGACAATCAAGCGCATTTGTTTTCCAAAAGGAGCTATCAAGGCTAGCAGGATATATGAATGAACAACAACAACAAAAAGGAAATGGTGAAAATGCTAGTTCATGTTGCAACTAAATAAACACAACCTGGAACTGGTGCCTCATTCAGCCACAGAACAAGGATGTGTGCTAGCTTGCTAGCATATGAGAATGATTTCACAGCAAACAATGCAGGCTTTTTGTTGCTCATTAAGATTGTTTATTAGTAAGACTAAAATATCTCTCCGTTCTGTGCTGTGGCACAAACAGTGTGGAATATTACAGCTGACTGGATACCAGGTTCTCCTGTTCCTATTTAAATCACAACTCAAAAAACAAGAACCCACACTTGAATTGATAAATTGAGTGGAGTGACTTGGCCACAATTTAGAAGTGCAGTACATATACAGTGGCTAAAACAAGAAGCATGAAACAGTGCTGCAAATGTTGGCAGCTGAGTGCAGGAAATGGCATGTATGAACAAAGGTCGATGAAATAACAAGTGTAAAAACAGTTGTAGACATTTCTGAAGGCTTGACAGTGGCCCTTTAATTAAATATTATGGAAACCTGAGGAAACGGCTACTCGGGGTTGCCAAGTGAGTTGACTGAGGAAGTGAAGGAGGGAGCATATTGTATATTGACTACTGAATATAGTGCATATTTCTTAACTCCCATTAATCACAGTTGCTGGCAATAACAAAAGTATGCTGTAATCACATATTACTTATATCTCACTCATAGCTCACTGAGACAAAGAATTTCTGCCAAAAGTATGAATTCTAACTTTCAACCTGCAGAAAGAAGTCAGAGGAGCAAGCTCAAACCTCCCAATACAGTGTTAATGTTATTCATTATGTAACTAACTAGTACAACTACCAGTAAAAGGATTTTTTTGGCCAAAACAATTCTTTCCTGAATGCTATTATAATAGAGTATAATCTTTTCTAATATTCCTAAATAGTTGCAATTGAATGACCACCTTCAGACGGATACATTTTTAAAAAGGCTATTAAGTACAATTTATTCAATCCACTTGCATAAAGAAGAGGAAAGTTGAAGGAAAATAAGTGGTGAAAAAAAGAAGTTTCCAAAAATGGATTTCAAAAAATTTTAAAGAGATACAGAAAAAATAGGACTCCTAACAACCGTGTAAGACGTGGTAGACCACCAAAATTGTCACCATAAGATAAACAGCACTTAAAGCTTTTCATTTGAGAGAGAGAAGAAAATCAAGCTCCACTCTTGCTTCAGATCTGAAAAAATCCACAAGTGTTTCTGTCCATCCTTCCACTGTAAGAAGACAACTCAATGCTACGGGTCTGAAAGGATGTGTAGCTGTCAGGAAGCTGTTACTGAGAAAAGGAAGTGAACAAATCAAACAAAAAAGCTGCTGGTGTTTTCAAGACAATGGACTGGCCACTCCAGACCTCAAATGAATGCAGGTCTCCCAAAAAGAATGGTCACCATGATAAAGGCAAAGAGTGGACACTAAATACTGAAAATGTTATATTTAGTTGTGTAATTTTCTGTTAAATATCTGTTTTCTGCTTTGTGACCCTGAAAAATTAATATCTTGTGCTTGATGGCCTAAAACAAATAAAGGGTGGTCTCTTGTGTTGTATACCAAATTGTACATTAAACTCCTAATGATGGTGGTACCTTGGACTTGCCCTCTGTACTGCCAGGGTCTTTGCCATTTCCACTCTGGCCTTGAGAGTCTCTGCGCTGGGAGAAAGAAAGCTTCTTCTTGCGGGGCCGGCCCTTCAGGTTAGGAGCTGCAGAGAGAGCAGAGAAAGCCACTTACAGTCCAGCAGGCAGTGACAGTGATTGCAACAACACACCCACTCACTCTACAGGCTCCTGACACACACTCCCAGCCCTATAGGCCCCATACAGCCACATGAGAGCGGCAAATAAGCCATCACCGCTAACCAAAATAAGAGTAATGATGAGCTTTTTCTAAAAATGTGGACATCAACTCGGGTGGGCACGGGCCTTGTCTGAAATAACTTGCTACTGCTGGACCATACTTTTTTCCTTGATTTTCAGGACTTGATATCACCCAGGCATATCTTTTAGATGGTGTTAAAGTTGGCACCCATTAACCAGAACCGCAACTTGATATGATGAGCTTAGCTTTCTAGGTTTCTCCGCTCATTATTTTAGTCTTTATTTCAATGTATGTTTAAAAAAATACCCTCAGCAATGTAAGCTATGAAGGCATGCTTCTATAACTAGGTGAGATTCAGTAGCAGCTGATTGTCAGGTGAGAAAATTCCTTACACACCAGTTCTTTAAATAACATTTCGAAGTAATGTTAGTGCACATTCATGCACATAGTTAGAGTGTGCGTGTTCCAGGGTCTGACAGCATCTCGAATGTATTAAAAGCTTTAGATGCCAAGCGGAATGTTTTATTCCAAACAGAAGGCCAAGAGAGCTGCTGGATCACATTTCCAAAATTTTCTTCGAGGCACAAGGCAGAGCTTTTCGGTAGAGCCTTTTGTTTTCCTTCTTCAGAGCCATTAAAGCATTTTACATGTTTTAAAATGACAGCAACAAGCATCAAACATGTGGCAGTGGCCTGGCTAGAAACAGGAGTGCCTTCTGATTCAAAAAACAAGAAGACATTCAGGTCCAAGAAGGTGACCAGAAGCCTCATTCCGCGTACGCTGAAGATTAAATCACAGTCAAGGTTAGCTCAAGCCCAAGGCTACAGTCACACTGCCACACTCTATCTCCTAATATATTTTGAGGAGCCATAAACAAAAAAGAATAGCTGTTCAGGGAGAGGAAAGCAAAGTTTTAACACACACTAATCAGCGAAGGTCAAATGTCTTTTTTTTATATTCCAATTGCACCCCCATCGTTCTCTTTATATAACTGCTCAGTGAGCAGCAGGGGGTGGTGAGAAAAAAACAGCACCTGAAATTAAACCCTTTTTTATAAGAATAAATATTTATGTAGGAGTTTTTTTCAGTCACCTTGGCAACAGGCGAGGCTGTTCTGTTTTTGCGCAAGCCTTTGCGACAAGTGCAGGCATCAGATACAGGTCCCACAGAGCCCTCCACTGAGGTAATGGGGACGATCGGGGGGAACTGGACTGCTTCTTACTCAAATATCAGTTTGTCTTTGTCCCTGAGATTAATGTACTCTCACAGTTCTTCCTTTTTTCTTTTTTCCCCTCACCCTATCCTCTCCCATACTACAAGTCACACCATAATTCGAATTCCAGCCTTGTGAGTAATGCCTTACCCATGATTGTTGGAGTACTTTAGCGCTTATTCTCCACTCTTGTTTTGTCTTTGCTTGGTATGAGGACACTGCTTCTAAAGAGTTTCACATATGTGTATTACAAAGCATGGTGGATTGGATTGAAAAGAGTATTCCAGCTATTTTCAACCTAATCTCTGCATTATACAGTCAGTTACCACATGTACACCAGTACTTAAAAAAGTACAAAAAGAGCAGTGTTCTGTTTTACAAATAAAACACACTAAACTTGAATAAATGGCATGTATTGGTTGTATAATTTCACGTTCAAATGGCTTCAGAGCTAATATAAATAAATGCTTAAAGGAATTGTTTGGTGAAAAATCTAATGTATAGTGGTCCACTTACCCCAGGTGTAGCCAATCAGCCAAGTCATGACAGGAGTCTAAATTTTACTTCAGTTCAGAACTAAAATACAAGGCTAACGTAGCTAACAAACATTAACACTCAACAGTTATGCAAATAGCCCAAATTGTTTTTTTAAAACTACATCATGAAACTTCTCAAACTGCACTTAGGTCTTCATTAAAGTTGCACAGACTTTCCAGTGTGGTTCAGAGCACAGCATGAGTTACTGTGAACTATAAAAACAAGCAATTAAACTACACTGTTACCTGCAACTATTTCAGATAACCCAAAGACCGGCATTCACAATTCAGGACTGATCTTGGATCGGAATCTTCTGTATTTATGACAGTCATCGTCACAAATACTGATTCTAGATTAGCACACCTTCTCCTGAGGAGGTTTGTGAATACACACCCTGTTGTCTAAAGTGACTGTTGATTTTTACAGTTCACATTAAGTCATACTGTGTTCTAAACCACATTGACAAGTCTGCTGACTTTAATGAAGGCCTGGATGCGGTTCAAGCAGGGGGAGAGCATTTTTACCAAAACAATTTGGGCTATTCAAGTGCTTATTGGGTGCTTGTTAGCAATATTAGCCTCACATCTTCTACAGTTCTAAATTAAGAAGCAAAATTTGGTTATCTGGGGTAAATGAAAAACTGTGTAAATTCTTGCAGTTGTGCAGTTTCTGAAGCAACCCCCTGCCCACTGCCTCCTATCTCTAAACTTTTGTGTAGAGATTAGATAGAAAAATGCTGGAGTATGTTTTTAAGTAAGAGGTGATGGAAAGGAAACAGCCAACACAGCATAGCATCACATGCTCTAAAAACATCTGCCTCCTTTATTCGCTGTCTCAAATCCTACAGTGAAATTACAGCAAAAGAAGGGAAGGAGACATACAGAGAGAGCGAGAGAGAGAGAGAGAGAGAGAGAGAGAGAGAAAGAGAGAATATGTTATTCTTGTTTCTCTCTCTTGCATTAGCACTCCACTCAGCTTCCCCACTGTGCAGGCTGTACAGGCATATGACAGGCATTGGGCAGGCCGAGGCTGCAGATTTTTGGGCCGCTGCGCTGCGGGGCGGGAGACTACTATTGGGCCTCCATTACTCACACATAAACAGATTACTGGCTGCCCAACACTGGCATGCAGCAACCAGAGTCCACAACTGTCACTGTTGTGTACCCCCAACCCTCACTTTATTGACTTACCTCAGGACTGACATAACAGCTGGCCTGCTCCCCCCCACCGACTACCCCCCCTCCTCTGCAGAAGTGTGTCAGTTGAACTGCAGTGAGAACAAAGGACAGAGTAACGTTTGTGCTGAGAAAGGATTGGCCCCAACGCTCCCAGAAACTCAACCTCCACCTCTTGCTTCTTCCTCATCTTCATGTCCTTCCACATGTCTATAAAGTGACATGTAACTATGTGACAAATGTCAAGGGGCTGATTAGCGTAACTCAATTATGGGCCTGTGGCATTCGCTTTGTGCAGTTTGAAGCTGTCAGTTCGGAAAGTTATTCGGCTCTGTCAGTTTGTATTAAGGATGAGCATTTTAACTTATTTTGCATATCCATAAGAGTTAGTGAACTGGTGGTTGGTGAACCAAAGGTTCGCTTTTCAATGGCATGACTTCCTGTGATGCGACTTATATCGAGAAAACGATATCAGTATTCAAATACTAGCATTTGGAACATCAATGTTGTTGTTGGTTGCTAGTGTTGCATGATGCGGACAAAATAACAGTATTGCGATTATACTGCTACTAGGGCTGGCTCAAACATTTAGAATACTGGAGTATTCATTCATTGTGTTGGAATTTGTTTCCTTATTCAGTGTTCAAATGCTCTTTGCCATTTAGCCCCCAACAGAATTCTAGAAAACTCTTGTGGGTCCCTGACAACTTTCAGAGAGGTTTAAGAGGCATATTTATCCCTGTTTTACACACAGTGTTTGATCAAAAAACCAGAAGAAAATGGCAATTACTTAAGGATGGATGTGATATCAGGCACAAAAAGTCACATTACACCCAGGTAATGTTAGTAAATGGCTGAACACAGCTACATACTCCCCGTAGAAGCCCCCTTTCTCTTTAAAAGACTGAAGCAAGACAACTTGGTGAGGAGCAAGATAAATTAGTGAAAGATATTAAATACTTAAACAAAGAGATAGCCAAATACACATTTATTTGTTTGGCTACAGTTTTTACTGTTAAACGACATTCAAGCAAAGAAGCTGAGGCGTCTACAGTCACTCATTTAGCCCTGTTGAGCCAAGAAATGTAGATAAAGAGACAGCAGTGTAGTTAATTAGTTTTGCTGATTTCTATATTATATTAAAACACGGAAATAGCCCACCAATCCATCAATGAGATTTGTGCTCGCCTACTGAAGTTATTTCACTTGTGATGAAACTGAACTTAGACCACCTAACCCTAAACCTAACCCAAGTCAACAATGGAATTTAAACATGGCTATTCATTCAGTAAACCAGCTAAACTGACTATGAAAACATGTCGCTAAAAATATTATCAGATTTACATCTTGAACTTACTTTTGTGTCATCTCTGCTATCTGGTAATCAGAAAGGCACTCCTATGTCTCCTTACCTGGCATAACATTACAGCACATATATCTTTTGGCATCCTTGGGACATCTGTTGTAAAAAGGGAATTTATGTGTAAAAATGAACAGAAACTTGTTTTAAAAATTATAGTTAATTATGAAATATAAATTTTATTGTTTTAAGTGTAGTATTGAGAATGAGTATTGAAATACTAGTTTGGAAACACCACAGAGTATTCGAAGCCTGTAAAATGCTCTTCAGGCCAGCCCTAATTGCTACATATTGTGCAACATGCCTTGCAACACATTAAACCATGTTAGTGAATCAGTAATGTGACATACTTAAAGGCTTGCCTGAATTATTGTGACCAAAATAATTTAAGCTTGTTGGATTATATGTATACTTTGATTCAACAAAATACCCACAGAAACACTCATCTGGAACATTCATCAGGATAAAGCAGAAAAACAGCCTTCTGTATAGCAATCAGTACAGCAAAAGCCAATAATGCGATAACATCAACCAATGATACACTGTGCTGCCCTATCACTTCTCAATTTGAACAGGTTGTTCAAAAGGCATGTTGGTGG